AAATTCCATGTAATAGGTATGTAATTCAAGAGAATATTATCCTCTGAAAATTTTAGCTTTTCTTGCACAGTCATATTTATATAATCAACTACTTTCTCCCAAAACGTAGTAAGTATAGGACATTGTAAACACATGTGTTTTAAAGAAGCATTATCTTTATTACATTTCCAACAGAATGCTGTCTTAGACAGTCCTTTTCTATACAGACGTAGTCCAATAAATTCTAAATATTGTTTTTTGTTGAATAGGTCATAGTTTAAGGTCCATTGATACTCTTGCTGTAGACACTCTCCCATTGTCTAGGCAATATATGAACATCTAATTCTTTATTCCACTCATTTCTTAGTATCTGCATATCAAACTACTATAAAAACTAATTAGTTTAATTTAGTTTAACAAGTTGTTTTAGTATCTAAGGTGTCTCAGAAGCTGAAAATGCTACTGGTCCGAACAATGTTGTTAACACATGTTGTAGCTGTAAATATTGCCATTGGGTTACATCTGATAGATGATATTTATCTCTTAACACAACGTATGTTAAAATTCATCTTCATTGTCTATCAGTTGGTCCAAAATCAGTATCCCTGCTTCCATCCAATTTTTCCATGTCACCATCTTTTTCCCAATTTTTAAAGTTGGGTTTCCCCACAAATTCTATTTAGCATGGGAAAAGGGATCAAATCTTTTATTAGACATTACATTTCATAACTTTCTAATTGACATAATTGTTTCCAGAGATACTATACAGTTCTAGTGTATTTTGATCCTAATACTGTCTACCCAACCAAAGGTGCTATATATGTATATTCCAAAGTTGCCCAAATCAGAAAATTGACACCAATTGTTGACTTCCAGTATTTAATACTTGACAATAGGTAAGCATGATGATATAGCTCCAGATTCGGAAAACTCAGTCCTCCCTCATTAATTGGTGATTGCATTTTCTGTAAAGATATTCTCGGAATCGAAGAACCCCATAGGAATTTTCTAAACTTTTCAACTACGAATTGCAACATCATATTGGCTAATGATCTGTAATAGGCTGAGGCAGCCATCTAGAAGAAGCACACTTGATAGGAAAGGTGAATTCAGACTCTTTTTGCTCTTTTGGCAAACTCTGAAAGCAGAGTATATTCACCAAAAATCATTACTATTGAGATCAAAGAAAATGCCCTCATGTGTGAACTAGGTTTTTTTTTTCATTTTTCATTTTTCCTTCCTCTCTGCTTATAGGAAGGATCAACACCTTCTTTCTCCTGTGAACTGCTGGTATCTGGTATTGACACAGACCCGAAGAGAGAGCAGAGACCATGCCACTCTGAATGACATCTTCATGAATAATGTCATTGTCAGGCTCTCCCAGATAAGTGAGGATGTTATTCGGCTGTTTAAAAAGGTAAACATGTGTTATTTACTGTATCTTTTCTGGCAAAAGAAGGGTCACGCCTAAAACCAATTCAGTTTTGCATGTACATGTCAGATATATGGAAGAACAAGCATGGATTCTGATGGGACCTTTTCTCTGAAGGTTCTGGGTGGGAAGAGAGGAACCGAATGAGAATTGGATAAAATCATGCTGGGGAGAGCAGAAATAAACTTTGAGTGTTGAACTGTCCGCTCTTCGCCTATTAATAAGGAAATCTGCCTGGACATGTTTTGTTATATCAAAGGATTTCTGTTTCTCTGTGGTGCACTATATTCTGGACTCCTAAATGCATAACATTTTCCCAGCATTCACATGTTTGCAGGTAGACAAGGATTTGCTGGTGATGACATATCCATTTTAAGACACGACAAAATAGAGGACAGCTAATATGATAAGCTGCCATTTATTAATCTCTCCTTCTCTGTTGTGTAATAATCTGTATTCTGTTGTAATAGTATCAATGATTTTTGCCATGGCATCACAATAGCCTGTATTTATCTGGACATGTTAAAAGAAACTGAAAAGCTATGAAGATGAATGCAAGAGACATTGTTCTGGATGGGTATTAGATAACGCAAAAAGTCATGCTTTAGGCTGGTCAATACCCATGCCATTTTCTTAGCTTTGTTAGGAGGCAGACAAACCTGTGACAATCTTCAGAGGAATATAACCCAGCAGTGTATTAAGTAGCTGACTTTTATTAGGGTTGGTCTAGAGCAGTGTTTCTCAACCTTGGCAACTTGAAGACGTGTGGACTTCAACTCCCAGAATTCCCCAGCCAGCATGTCCACACGTCTTCAAGTTGCCAAGGTTGAGAAACACTGCTCTAGAGAAATGGAACTGAAGCAGCCCAGGTTCTTCCCTACCCAAGCTGCTCAGTGCTGTGGCTGAGAAGGTGTCTTACAGTTTGGGGCTTTCAATCTGCTTCCTCTGGACCTGGAATCAGAGGCTGCCTGGGAGTTGATGGCTGCCACAGTGAGCCAAGATATCAATTACCTGATGCACAGTGGGGGTCACATGCTAGATTTCCTTTTAGTCTTGAGGCAGTGGGAATGTGATTGGAGTTAGAGATACTGTCATTAGTCCCTTGTCATAGACAGATTGCTCCCTGTTAGCCTTGGAGTTCTCTCTAGGTCCCTCCGCCACCCCATTGCTTGGAGGAGGGCCTTATTCAATCAGTTCATCTCAGGCACCTTATTTCTCTGCTTTTATTGCTGGGAGTCTACTGCAGGTAACTCCCGGTTAGGAGGGACCATGGGGACCACTGCATGTTCTCTGTGAGGACTTTTCTAGGCATCTGTTGGATCAAGGCATTCGGATTTGCTCGGAGTTGGATTCTGGCTGTGCAGGTCCTACAGAATTGACTGAGACACCATTGTGCTCAGTTATCTGGGCAGAGTTTGAACCTGATAATCCAGAGGAGGTGGACAAGGTCCTTAGCCATGCTTTAGATCCAGGTCTCCCCTGGCTGGTCAAGGCCTCTTAGGAGATGACATGATTTACCCTTGGTGGTAAATGCTTCTTTGTGGGAAGTGACAGTTCTGCCTGCTTTAAAGGAAGTGATGGCATTCTGTTAAAATGCAATTGCTAGATTCAACTGTCCTGGAGAATTTCAAAAAGGGTCCTGGAGAAATGGATTACTTAGACCCTTTTCAGTTAGGTTTCAGGCCAAATTATACTCCTGAGATGGCATTGATCTTCCTTGTAGATGATCTCTGGCAGCTTGGGATGGAAGCGGTATCTCTGTCCTGGGCCTCCTTGAACTTTTGGCAGCTTTCAATACCATCAATCATGGTATCCATCTGGATTAGTTTAAGGAGTCAGGAGTGGGGGCACAGTTTTATGAAGATTCTCCTCCTTCCTCTGAGACTGGTTCCAGGTGGTGGTGGTGGTGGTGGTGGTGGTGGTGAGAGATCTAGGCCCAGGGCTCTGTTTTACAGGGTGTCTCAAGGCTTGAGTCTCTTCCCACATCGATTTAACATCTACATGAGACCACTGGGTGTGGTCATTCATCAGTACAGATGAAGTATCAATAAGCTGATGATACTCAATTGTACATCTCTCTCCAAGTCATCCAAGTGATGCTGTCAAGGTTCTTTCCCGGTGCCTGAAGGTGGAGAGGTTCTGGATAGGTAATAACAGGGTTCAACTCAAACCTAATAAGATTAAATAGCTGTGGAGACTCTTGGTTCTGGACATTTTACATCATTAACTCTGCATGGGGCAGCACTTTCCCAGACAGGCTTGTTGCACAACTCACAACTCCTGCTTGAGGAGCAGGTGGCAGCTCTGGCCAGAAGGTCTGTTTCACAAATTCATCTTATGCGTCAGTTGTACCTGTTCCTGGATTGGGATCATTATTCATGGTCACTCATGCCTTAGTCACTTTCTGATTGGATTGTTGCAATGCACTCTACTTGGGGCTGCCCTTGAAAAGCATTCAGAAGCTGCAGTTGGTCCAGAGTGCAGCGGCATATGCAGTTTTGGATGCACAGTGGTACTCCCACATAACCCCACTGCTATGAGAGCTGCACTGGTTCCCCATAGGCTTCCAGGTGTAATTCAGTATGCTAGTTGTCACCTTTAAAGCCCTGCATAGAATAGGACCAGGTTACTTGTGAGACCACCTGTCTCTAATGGTTTCTGCCTGTTCCATCCGATTTGGCAGGTCCCTTCTGAGAAACAATCTAATGGGACCCAGGAAGTGTGCCTTCTCAGTCATGGTGCCTGCCTTATGGAACAACCTCCCCTATGAGATTCAGGTGGCTCCCAAGTCTCATTGGCTTCAGAAGTCCATGAAGACCTGGATTTTCCATCAGGCAATGGGGTTGGAATGTTAGTGGAACCTGGGATGGATGTCTTGTTTTATGTTGTCGTAGCTGTGAGATACCTCAATCATTTTTAAATTGCTATTGTTTCATAGGTCTTAAAAATATATATATTGTGTTTTTATCTATATTTTTGTTAGCCACATAGAGTTATTATTAAGATGCACGGCCATATAAATTTGCTAAATAAATAAATAAATAAGTTTCATAGGTCTTAAAAATATATATATTGTGTTTTTATCTATATTTTTGTTAGCCACATAGAGTTATTATTAAGATGCACGGCCATATAAATTTGCTAAATAAATAAATAAATAAGTTTCATAGGTCTTAAAAATATATATATTGTGTTTTTATCTATATTTTTGTTAGCCACATAGAGTTATTATTAAGATGCACGGCCATATAAATTTGCTAAATAAATAAATAAATAAAGTCACTTTTTGTGAGATGGGCGATATCTAAATTTGAAATATAAATAAAATAAAATAAATATAAACAAATAAACGAGTGTATTTATTTACTGGCACATTTATTTGATTAAGTCTATAGGCATAGATGTGGCTAGAGTTTCAGTAGTGATTCTTGGGAAGGTAGTTTGAAACTGCAGATTTTCTGGTTTGTCCATTAGATCTGTATTAACAATATTTCCTCCGTTTACTATGCTGAAAAAGAGATAACATTAGCCTTGACTCCATCTGGAGCTTGCCTTATGTAGCACTTCCTTTTAATCAGGCTGAAGCCACATTATTCAGTTTTGCATATGCATCTGAGATTCTGTTCACAATATCTCCTTTGAGGTTGATGTCTCAGTAGAGTTCACACGTCTCTGGAAATAATGAGTTAAAGCCACAGCTGAAGGCTTGGTCCGTGTTGGAATATGCTCTTATTGGTGAAATTTACCAATATACAAACAGTACCTTACGTTTCCAAAGCTAGCCTTTTTTCCCTTTAACCAGGTTTGCATCACTCCAAGCCTTTTCTTTCCTATTCATGTACAGGTAGTCCTTCTTTGGTGACCACAATTGGGACTGGCAACGCACTCATTAAGCGAAGCGGTTGCTAAGTGAAACCATGACTGCTTATGATTTCACTTCAGCTTTCCTTTGCTTTACAGAACTGTGAAGTTCATAAATGGGAGGATTGGTCGTAAAGTTATTTTTTCATCACCGTCATAACTGCAAACAGTTGCTAAATGAGGCAGTCACTAAGTGAGGACTACCTGTATTTGTTATTTTTGGGTAGCATTCAAGAAAACAAAGCACACATCTGACATCATGACATTATTGCTTGACATTAGAATATCAGCAAGCCAAGTGTTTGTCAATAAGGGAAGGATTTACCATCTTCCCAGCCATAAACTTCCAAAGTAGATACCTATGACAAAAAGATCTTGTTGATTTTGGAAAAAGAGATATTTTCATCAGTTATTACATTCTGGGAACAGTTAGCCTTTTTAATTTGAAGTTGTACCGCATGGTTGTTTTCATGAACTATTCACTGTCTTTTAAGCCAGGATGACTAATGTGAATTAGTTTAATGAATAAGAATGAAGCACAAAAATAGGATTATTTTATCATGTGAAAATGGAGGGGGATGGAAGTCGCCTGACACTTTAAAATGGTTGCATGAATGAGACTTGTATCTGTTGCTTCAATTAATGGAAGATTGCTTCTTGAAATAAATTTTCCAGGATTTTATACAGCTCTATAGAGATTGTGCTGAAATCCATTTTAATAACATGTGCTATGAAATGGTTGACACCTTAAGGGTTAGGAACAGTCCTAATTGTTTTGCAGCTGTTGAAGATTTTCCCTGATTGTAAATTGGAGTAACATTTTGTTTCAAAAATGTCACTTTTAATTTCTTCCTTTGATTTATTAATAGGTTTTGATATCTTGTGGGGCGATACATGCAGAAATGGTAATAGATGCTGAAATTTTCCATTGCAAATGGGTATTTTCATTGTGTAAATAAAAACAGTTACCGTAAACAATAAAAGATATAAACATGTCTATGATTGATTCATATGTGAATTGCCTCTAGTTGGTGATGGTTGGAGGATTGGTCATCTGTCTTTGATCCTGGGATTACAAACGTGAATACATTCTGTAAGATTTTTAGGCAGGAAACATACAATCA